TGACGCACGGTCCCGAGCCGGTGAGTTGGGGGGTCGGAACACCTAGGTCCCCAGGGGTTTGGGGGCTGGGATCAGACTGCGGGTCAGTCATGAGGAGGGTGCTCGGACTTCAGGGTTCCGAAATAGGAGGGTTCGGGGCCCGGACTCCTGGGTCCTAAGGAGGGCCTGGGAACCTGAACTCTTGTGTATGGAGGGGTGGGACGGACCCTAGGGCTCGGACTTCGGAAGCAGAAGGAATTGGGAACTTGGAGTCCTGAGCCAGACGGAGGAGGGTTCTGGGAGCCAGGCTCTTGGGTCCCCAATGAAGGAACCATCTGGGGATCGGAATTTTTGAGTCTCCGAGGGAGGAGGGTGATGGGGGTCTGATTTGTCAATCCTCAGGAGGGGGCGAGAAGCAGGGACCAGGACTTTGTCCCCAAGAGAAGCAAGTAGAGGACCTGTGTTCTCTCTTCTTGGGACTAGGACTTAATGCGTGAGAGCAGATGGGGCTAGAGGCTTGTTGAGACCCAGACTCTTCGGTATTGAGAGAAGAGGTGGCGAAACAAGGGACAGAGGTGGGAGTGGCTGGGATCAGAAAGGAATGTGGGGCAGGGACTTTCCCGTTGCTATTTGTGCTACTGTTTCCGTTGCTATGACTCAGGGTCATCCTCTGATACTATCCCCTAAATGGCTTCTAAACTTGATTCCTTTTTTTTTTTTTTTTTTTTTGCGGTACGCGGGCCTCTCACTGTTGTGGCTTCTCCCGTTGCGGAGCACAGGCTCCGGACGCGCAGGCTCAGTGGCCATGGCTCACGGGCCCAGCCGCTCTGCGGCATGTGGGATCTTCCCGGACCGGGGCACGAACCCGTGTCCCCTGAATCGGCAGGCGGACTCTCAACCACTGCGCCACCAGGGAAGCCCCACTTGATTCCTTTTTTTTCTCCCTTTTTCCCAGTCCAGACAGATGGCCCCAGGCCAAGTGCCCCATCAGCCTGCCCCCTGGAGGGATACCCACCCCTTCTACCTCGTGTCCCCGCTGGTGGGCCTTCTCAGCTGGACCTGGAGCCACCTGAGAGGCCCAAGATCTCCAGAGCCCTGGTTGGTGGAAGCAGTAACTGGAACAGATCAGGGAGAAGCTGTCCCGGAGGGAGAAGCTAAGGCTTCTCTGGCCACTCACCATGCCCCCAAGGGCAGGCACCCTCAAGAGGAGACTGGAGACAGTGGAGCAGCTGAGAAGGATGGAGAAGCATCCCGGGGGGCCTGCCCTGACCTGGAAACCAAGTGTTCTCTTCTTGAAGCCTGGGGACTTTCAGATAATGACGACGAAGAGTATGGCAGGGAAGAAGCAACCAGTATCCCTAGAGAGCAGGGAAGTGAATTTATGGATGGCCAGCCTGCTCCCCTGTGCCCCAGCCTTCTGGTAACATCCCTGCAAGACCTTCCTGGGGAGGAGGAATCTAAGGAAGAAGGGGTTACTGAAGATAAAGAAGTGATCATGTTCTCTTTTCCTCCATCACACTGGGAATGTTGTCCAGGGGTGGAGGAAGAGGAGGAGGATGAAGAAGCTGTAAATAAAGAAGCTCCTAGAACATCTGCCTCTCCCTTAGCTCTGGGATCCAAGCCCAGAGCTTGGGTGTGCTGCCCCGTGGATGGAGCCACAGAGGAAGAAAGAACAGAGAATAAAGCAGCCACGAAGACCTCCATTTGCCCCTCATCTGCAGGCTCCCACCTCAGGGCCTGGGAGTGTTGTTCAGGAGAGGAGCCTGAGGAGGAGAAGCCCAAAAAACCTGAGAAAGGAGAAGCTGACCCAGAGCCACACTCCCCAGTTCCAGCCCAGAGCCCCCTGCTCAGGACCTGGCAGCACCAATCCAGTGAGATCACAGAGGAGGAAGAGGAGGAGGAGGACAGTGATTCAGGAGAATCTGAGGCTTCCTCTTCCATCCCACACACAAGTGCCTTCCTGAGGGCCTGGGTGTACCGACCAGGAGAGGACACAGAGGAGGAAACTGAGTGTGAGGGTGAGAATGAGGATGAAGATGACGAATCAGAAGCAGCTGACTTGGAACCAAGTCCCTCCCTTCAGACCCAGAGTGCCCTCTTCAGGGACCGGATATATCAGCCTGGAGAGGAAACAGAGGGAGGGGAAGCTGCCACAGAGTGGGGAGAAGCTGAGCCCTGCCCCTTCCGAGTGGCCATCTATTTACCTGGAGAGAAGGCCCCACCTCCTTGGGCTCCTCCTCGGCTGCCCCTCCGTCTGCAAATGCGCCTCAAGTCTGCAGAAACCCCCACCAGGCATCGGGACCCTGAACCTCCCCTGAAGACCAGAAAGGTGGGTGCTGAGGGCTCAGATTCTTGAGGTTAGCGAGGAGAGGGCTGGGAGCTGGAACTCCTGGGCCTGGGGGCCAAAGGGCTGGAGGCCCCGATTCCTGGGTCCCCCGTGTTGCAGAGGGTTGCATGTGAGCTCCGTTGGGACGGCTGTGTTCACTGTAATGCAATCCTTTGCAAGAGGCTGAGCCCTTGTGGGATGAAGGAGCAGCTGCACTCATGTCAACCCCAGGGAACTACCTCCATCTTCAGGGAGTCAGATGGAGGATCCGCTGGTGGGTGAATGACTATCCAGATAACAAGCGTTGTTGTGCAACTAATTTTTGTTTGGTTCTCTCTCTCTGTCTCCCTCCCTCTCCCCACACCCCCCAACCTGTGGCCGTTTGTATATTGTGTCTGTATCTCTGTGTCTCCCCATGTCTGTGACGGTCCATCTCCAGGTGCGCTTCTCTGAGAAGGTCTCCGTCCATCTCCTGGCTGTCTGGGCGGGACCCGCCCAGGCCGCCCGCAGAGGCCCCTGGGAGCAGTTCGCCCGGGATCGCAGCCGCTTTGCCCGACGCATCGCCCAAGCCCAAGAGGAGCTGGGTCCCTACCTCACCCCTGCCGCCCGGGCCAGGGCCTGGGCACGCCTCGGGAACCCTCCCACTTCTCTGGCCACCATACCTGCCCCTACCCCGACCTTACCCATGTCCCCATGCAGACCACACCTTTGAGCCACATTCTGGCCTCTCCATCTCCTCCCTTTGTGTCTCCTTGCCTGGACCTCAGTGGGAGGCGTGGCTAAGATGAAGTAGTTTTCATGTTATTACCTATTTATTTTTAAGTGTTGATTTATATAAGGAATAAAGCTTTTCATAGTGAGCAGCGTCTCCGTGTGTGTCTGAACTGACACCATCCACTACTCCTGGGTCCCCAAAACAGTTGCAGGGGGACAGCATAAAGGCGAGCCTCTCAATAGAGGATAAATTACATTTCCCATCATCCCTCTTCCCATTCCGAGGCTTCTTTTGAACTAAGGACTGGTGGGTTTTGTCATTTTTCTTTGGCTTCCACCTATATTTGATTAAACCCCGGACAGTTATCTCCCCAAGGCAGCTGGGAACTGGACTCACCAAAAAAGGGTTAAGCTCCAGTTTTCTGTGTGTCCTTGGAATACAAAGACTCATCCTCCTACTGGCAGACGTGGTGAGTTCCTCAAGGCTTTCACATTTATGAGTGGGCCTGATTTCACATTTATAAATCATGTGTCCATAGACTCAGTTTCCTTATCTGTAAAATGCGGCTAACAATTGCACATACCTTATGAGTTTGTAAGGCCCCAAAGGAAGTCATAATTAAAACAATGTTTGTCAAATAACATAAGTGTTGGCTAGTATTTATTCTTACTCTCATGGATGTCTTCCAATTACCCATCCTACTTTACCTCACCAGCTTAGAACTCTTCACAGCAGTTCAAACAAAAGTGGCTGGGGTGGGGGTGGGGCTTCCCTGGTGACTCAGTGGTTAAGAATCCGCCTGCCAATGCAGGGCACACGGGTTCGGGTTCGAGCCCTCGTCTGGGAAGATCCCACATGCCATGGAGCAACTAAGCCCGTGCACCACAACTACTAAGCCTGCGCTCTAGAGCCTACATGCCACAACTACTGAGCCTGCGTGCCGCAACTACTGAAGCCCATGTGGCTAGAGCCCATGCTCCGCAACAAGAGAAGCCACCGGGATGAGAAGCCCACGCACCACAACGAAGAGAAGCTCCTGCTCGCCACAACTAGAGAAAGCCGGCGCACAGCAATGAAGACCCAACACAGCCAAAAATAAAAAATAAAATTAATAAATAAATAAAATTAGTTAATTAAAAAAAAAAAAGAGTGGCCCAAACATCCTGCACCCTATCCAGCCTCACACCTTGTCCCTCCCCATTGGTTCCCCAGGCTCCTGCTACACTATCCTTTCATTCCCAAACCGACCAAGCCCCCTTCCACCTTAAGAGCTCTGTATGAGCTGTGGCTACTGTCTGTTCCCGTCCCTGACCCCTCTGGCTCAGCTAGTTCCTTGTGATTCTTCAGATGTAGATGAAATTTTTTTTTTTTTTAAGAGATATCTTGCTCTGACCCAGCCAACTTGTGTGCCTTCCTCATTCATAGCAGACGAGCATTTTGATTTTTTTGTTGTTTAAGACCCATCCCCCATGATCGGACTGTGATTTCAGGAGAGCAAGTGCTGCCGAACAGCCCACTGCCTAGAGCGCAGGACGGCGCACTCAGGCGGCGTCTAATAAGTGTTGGTTATTAGTAAACTGGTGCAAAAGAAGGCACGCTGGGGCCCTTTCTCCAAATGAGTAGGCACACAAGCTGATGAGAGTATTTTCATTGAACTACTCACATGCCAGCTTCCCATCGAAACTGGACAAGCAGATGGCGAAGGCTTGGAGCGGACAAAGTGGGAAACGGAAGTCCATGGTGAACGTGTCTGGGGCTACGCGACCGAACTGGAGCACCAGGTAGTCCGCTGAGAAGGAAGTCAGGAACTAAGGGGAGCGGGTGTCGTATCCCTGCCGCGGGCCTCTGAGCCGCGAGAACTACGACTCCCGAGAGGCTGTGCGGCGCCCTCACTATGCGCGGAATCCTCCGGAAGTGCAGTTTATATGGCAGAGGGCCTTGTAAACTACACTTCCCAATAGGCTTTGCAATAGCGTGGAGTCGGCCCTGCCTAGAAAAACGCTCAAGTGCTAATGGGAGAAGTAGTTCTTGTCCTGCTCCCTTGCCCAGGTAAACCAGTTCCTAGGAACTCACGGTCATCCGGATGCACGATCTGGAAGTTCTTCACCGAGGTCCTAGTGACGCGACCATGAAAATTGAGCACGTAGGCGCCGCTCTTGTCGCTCCACGATGGGGCTTTATTTTGCAGCAGGACCAGCCCCTGGTTGGCCCCCCGTTGGAGGCGACTCAATAGCGACTCCTGTTCCTAGAGGGTAAAGTGGGGACGTGGTTAACCAACTACCAACCAGCTTTTTTCCTCCAGACGCAGAATTTTGAGTCCCTAGGCTCTCCTTACTGAGAAACCTAAGTCTGACAAAGTCCTACCGGCTTCATATATGACCTTATGCAGTCCATCGGCTCCCTCTCCCCTTAGGACCTATGGCCGGTCCCCCAGCCCTTCCTCCCCATTGACCCAGGGACACTCAGCCTTGGCGCACTCACATTTTGTGGCTGGACACTGATTCTCTGGTTCTGGGCGTCGATTCCTGGAATGATCACAGTCATTTTCCGGGGCCCTCGGAATCCCAAGATGTTGGTCTCCTGAGGGTAGTATGCTCCATTTGGCCTTCTTCTTTCTCCCTCCCCACCGTCCTGCTCCACTCTCTCTCGTCTCCCAGACACTCACATAACACACAGCCCCCAGCTCCTCCCTGATCCGAGCAGTCTCTGGGACAAAATTCTTCCTTTCTGGATTCACCCCATTGTCGAAGATGGTGAATTTGGTGCCCAAGACATTAGATCTGCTCCAGGAGGGAAGTGGTCAGATAAAAATAATAATTATTCCTATTTTACATTAACTGCTTTCCCATGTCATCTCATGAACTCTTCCGATCAATCCTCTACAAAAGACTCATGTTCCATGTTCCATGCACCTAGTCCCAGCCCCCTCTCTTTCTTTGGTGAGCCATGATTTTAGCCTCCTGCCTTGACCCTTTAGGAACGCCCTTCCAAGACAAAAGAACTCACATATCCCAGCTCTCTTCTCCCACAGGAACTTAGGAATGCCAGCCCCGTGTCTCTCAAGAAGTCAAATGTCTTAAATGCCAACCTCTGCTCCAAAGCCTTCAGTTCTATTCCCAACCACCCTGGAGTTGCAACTTGAAGAACTACAAAACCCATCAGTCCCCAAGAGAAAAAATTGTAGGGCAGGTGGAACTTGTACTCTACAGCCCGCTGGGAAATGTAGTTCAATTGTCCCCTTGCCCCCCCCAACCCCCGGCCCTCTGCCACCTGTTTATCACACACATCAGGACTCTGCCCACCTGACTTTGCCCACAAAATTTTCCCCATCCCGAGATAGGTCTGTGGGGTCCAGGGAGACGAGGTAATTAGAGGTTTTGCTCCTTTTTCTCTTGCGCCCAGCCAGAAGGAAGTGCTGTGGATGTGAGAAACAGCCCATTAGAGTCGATTTCTGGTATTTGGCTAGGGCGAGGGGTCCAAAGACAAGGAAACACCAGGTCCCCAAGACAGAGGAAAGGGTAATGGAGCAATAAGCGTCCCAAGGCTTGCTGGGAGATGCGGTTCTCACTGAAGGAAGTCATCAGCTGGGTCCTGAATGGGGAGCTTCATTTCACATCTTTTTTTTTTTTTTTTTTTTTTTTTGCGGTACGCGGGCTTCTCGCTGTTGTGGTTTCTCCCGTTGCGGAGCACAGGCTCCGGACGCGCAGGCTCAGCAGCCATGGCTCACGGGCCTAGCCACTGCGCGGCACGCGGGATCTTCCCGGACCGGGGCACGAACCCGTGTACCCTGCATCGGCAGGCGGACTCTCAACCACTGCGCCACCAGGGAAGCCCCCATTTCACATCTTAATATCTGCCCCTTATTCCTTCGGCCATTGGGTTCAGGGTTGGGGCTGAGCCCAGGGAGGGGCGAGCCTGACTGGCAGGCAGGGCCTGGCTTTGGAGAATAGGGAAGAGCCTCACTTGGAACATCGCAGCAGGACTTCAGTACGTGTTTCATCGGGGAAAAAACAGGTCTGGCACTGAGTAGGGGAAAAGCCTCTTTCTGGGAGAGAATGAGTAATTGAGGAGAAGCGGCCACACTTGAGACAGGAATGGCCAGACGGAGAGGGGAGTCGCTTGGCTTTGGGTGGAAAATCCACGAAGCAAGGGGCTTGACTCCTGAGAGGCGGGGCCTGTCCCAGGATTGGGTGGGGCCTGATAACACAGAAGGCTCACTGAGGGACCAGACTTGGATCGAAAAAGATGAGGCCAGTACCTCACGAGGGTCTGTAAGAGGTGGGGCTTGGGACCTTCCGAAAGGGCGCGGCCTAGCCTTGAGAAAGGCGGGCCCAACTCGAGAGTGGACAGGGCTGGATTATGGGATGGGGAGGGCCTATCGGGCTCTGAGAGGAAAGAATCCTAGTGCTGTGAAGGGCAGGACTTGGCACTGGAGCTGACTAGTCCTAGTTCAATGACGAGCAAGGCCTGGATTCGCCTAAGTCTTGCTGTCGCTCAGAAAGGGGCGGGACTTGCCCTTGGGAGGTGGGACTTGCTTCCGAGGCTACCAGACCGCACCTTTCGGCCGTCGGCCGCCTCCAGGTAGAGATAGTAGAAAGGGAACATGCCCTTGTCTACCCCGCGCTTGTCGCGGCTGATGCGACACTGCACCGTGCGACCGCGCAGCGCTGGCCGCAGCACATACGCTTCCATGTCCTCGCCCAGCCGAGGGCCTGGGGCGCGGGGAGGCGAGCGGAGCGAGCTCCCCACATCGCTGTTGCCCGCGCCGCCCGCGCCTTCCGGGGCCTCGGACACCTCTTCGTCGGTCGCCCATGGGGAGTTCCTCACTGTAGACTCCGACTCCTCTTTCTTCTCTTGCAGGTCTTCGCCCTAGCCCACGTGCCAAATTCAAGTTGAGGGACAGCCGAGACCCGCCCTCCCCCCCCCCCACGCCTTGCCAACTAGCGATTGGCCATTCCAGCTCAGGGTTACGCCCTCTTTCGACCAAGTTTTCTGTCTATTGGTCAAGCATCTAAGCCACTTTCTGATTGGCCAGTACATTCAAGGGGCCCACCCCACCAAGCCCTCTTCAAGTGTTGATTGGCCAGCACCATTATTAGCCTCCCTCTGCAGCCACACCCATTCCACCTACCGATTGGAGAATCCCTTTGAAAGCATTGCCCATTCCTCTAATACCAATGTTCATTGGGTCTAGATAACATATAGTACCGCCCAGATCTACTCAACTGAAACAATCTCACTTTCATCAGTAGCAAAGTGAGTGCCAGTTGGCCCTTTCTCACCCTTTCCAAAGCTCGCTGCCTTTCGAGGGGCTGGGTTTTAATGTATGTGCTCACATCAATTCAAATCCTCTAGATTGACTCAATAAATGGTGCGCCTCTGCTAGCCCAAACATAACAGGTTCCACTCACCAGTAAAAAGGGCCCTTGACTGGGCTGCAGAATTTTAGAGTCCCGTCCCCCCTAGAGTCCGAAACTAGCTCTCCTCCTCCTATGTCCTTATTGCCTGTGCCACCTCCCACCTTGTTGGAGGCTAAGTCTCCATGGCCCCCGTCACCAACCATTCCAGGGTTTGGTCTCGGACTGGGCACCTCGTATTCATCTCCAACATCCTGGGATTCGCTCTCGTCCTCAGCACTGCCCCCTAAAGGGTGGAAGAAGCCCGAAGAAGACTGAGCTCAGGACACCTGGGTCCCAGGAGCTCGGGACAAGGTCATCAGTGCTAGCTGGAGAAGGCCAGAACCCCTGGGTTTCCGAACCCTACTGTCTTTGACTGCTCTCTGGATCTAAGGACAGGGAGTAGTTAGAGTCCTCTCTTTCCCTTGTCCCAGAGAGAGCATCCGGGAGGAGGGAGCGGAGTTTGGAGTGGTAACCCAGAGTCCTGTTATTGAAATCGTTGGTCATGTCATGAGAATACAAGGAAATGTCACCACAGTGGAATATTAAGAAATAAAAAGGAATGAAATACTGATAATGCTACAACATAGATGAACATTGAAAGCATGCTAAGCAAAAGAAGCCAATCACAAACGATTATATACTGTATTATTCTATATATGAATATAGAAATATCCAAAATAGGCAAATCTAAAGAGACAGAAATTAGATTAGTGGTTACTTAGGTCTGGGAGAAATTGGGGGGGGTTGACTGATAAAAGGTATAGGGCTTTCTTTTGTGGGTGATGATAATGTTCTAGAATTCATTGTGGTAATTGTTGCACATCTTGGTATATATACTGAAAACCATAGAATTGTAAACTTTAAATGAGTGAATTGTATAGTATGTGAAATATATCTCGACAAAGCTGTTACCAAAAAGGGGGAGGATTTGCCACATGGACCAGGGGGCCAGATTTCACCCAATGTCCCAGAAATTACCAGGTCGTTGGCGGGCTGGCCAACCCCTGCGCCGAGTCCCCGGAGGCTCTTCATAAGGAGGTGGTGAGGCAGGAATATCCTCCACGGAGACTTCCTCCAACTCGAGATCGGAACTGCCTGGTAATCAGGATGGGGGGGGCGGGTCTGGAGACTGGGATTTCTGAATACTGGGGGAGGAGAGGGCTGGAGATTCAGATTCTTGCGTGTTGGAGAAGGAGAAGGTTCAGGACCTGGACTCCTTGGTGTGAAGGAAACGGGGCCCCTGGGGGTCCTTTGGAGAGCAAGGACTGAGGATCCAGACTCCTGGGTTCTAGTGGGAGTGGAGTTCCAGTGTATAGGCGGCCCAAGGATTTGAGATTACCTGCTTCTGTCGGCGATACCAGGGGTCCACGCTCGCCACTGCCATCTCCACCGCAGCTCACGGTGCTCAGGACACTGCGGGCACCAGGGCGCAGATGTGTCTCTGGCACGTTCTCCTGAAGGAAAGGGTTCCCGGGGCCTGGGAGAAGGTACGGCGAGGGCCATTAACACGATGTACAAATTCCGGTCATCTGAGAAGATCCGCCTCCTCACTGGTCTCCGAGATATCTTCCCTGATTAACTGACTACCCAAACCCCCAAGACCCACTCAGGACCCTAACTCCATCCCAAGACTCAAACAAGCACAGCCCTACCGCTAAATTGTCTCGATTCCGCGTGTAAACAATCCCACGCGGGCTCTCCAGTACCTCGGCTCTAAATAACCCAGCCCCAGCCCTCGGGCTTCGCCTACTTCAGCAGTGAGGTTTCTTCTGCCTAACTGCAACCCGGAGCTTTCCCAGGCCCCGCCCCAGCACTTTCTGGGCGGTCCCCAGCTCCCCCAGGCTCCGCCCCGGAGCTCTAACAAGCCCAATCACAGGACTCTTTCGGGCCCCACCTCTAGTTGCACCACACCCCGCACCCGCGCTCTCCCTGACCCCGCCCCCGAACTCTCACAGGTCCTTCCCCTGGGCCCTCACAGGCCCTGCACTCAGGCTCTCCTGGGCTCCACCCAAGGGTTCTGTCAGGCCCCGCTCTCGTGCTCTACAAGTCCCCGCCCCAGGGCTCTGCCAGGCCCTTCCCCTCTAAGCCCTTTAGGCTCCGCACTCCCACAGACCCCTCCCTCCAGGGCTGTGCTCCTGCCCGACCCTGGGAACCTTTCCTCACCGCTGTCACCCGAGAAGCGCTCCTCCCGCTGCCGCGGTCGCCGGGGCCTCAGGGGAGCGTCAGGATTGGCCTGAACCATGAGGGGTTCTTGGCGCTTCCGTCGCTGCTTCACCTCAAACAACCGCCGCTGCGCGAGCGGGAAAAGGGTGTATGGGCGGGAATGGGAGTGTTGGAACCGGACCAGAAGACATGGGTGAAAGGGGGCCTGGGGCAAGGGCCGTCCTGCGTCGGTGGGAGAGTTCCAGGCCTTCAGTCCCTCAGCAACTCCTTCCTTAGATACAGGAGTCCTGGCTCCCAGGCCCCTCCTCCCCCAGGACCTAGGAGTCCTGCTCTCCAGAACGCTTGTTCCTTAGAAATTTTGGAGTCTCATCACCAAGGTTTGCTACTTGAGGATCCCAAATTCCTATTTTCTCATTTCCCAATTGCAAAACTTGAGGCTCCGAGAGAACCAACGAGGACCAGGAGTCCCAGAGCAAGTCCTGGGGGTGGGGCTCCTGGGGAGGTATGGAAGATGGAAGAGTCGGGGGTGGCAGGATTCCTGAGCACAGTACCTGCTGTTCCAGCTTCTGCAGCCTCATGGCGCCAAGCTCATCCCCCAGGGCCCTGAGAGAGGTGCAGGTTCATAGTGACAGCAAGCAGGGCACCCTGGTTGCCCAAGAGCCCCTCCCCTTCTTCCCCCTGACCAACTTAGGGTTCTGAACATTTGTGAGGACACAGAAGAGGCAGACCCTGAGCCTGCTCCACCAGTTCTGAAGCTCTTTCTCACAGCACTGGCCTGTCTAGAATCCAGGAGTCAGAGATCCCAGGCCCCTCCTGTCCCAGGGCTCAAACCCCCCATCCCTTCCTCTTTCAGACCCAGGAGTCCTCATTTATAGCTCCCTCCCTTTAGGTAGGACCCAGAAATCCAAGCCCCCAGGCCCTTCCTGCAAGGCCAATGGTGCTGAACCTGCAAACATCATTATGAGACCAGAGCTGAGTAGGTGTGGGCATAATCAGACTTTGAGCTCCCCCTTGCACCCCCATCTCCACCCCTGCGCATCTCATTTCCCCCACTCACTCTTTCTTCCATGTGTCATTCTCCTGAGACATCCTGGAGAAGCAAAATGAGGCGTCAGGACCCAGACCCAACATCCCAGTGGACTCTTCCCTTCAACACCTGATCTTAAGCTTTAAATTTTCCCCTGACCCAGGCAGCCCGAATTCCAGCACCAACACTTGCTAGGGACCCAGCAGCCTGTTTCCAGCTTTCGTCACTATCAGGAGCCCAGGAGTCCAGCTCTCTCTTCCCCAAATACCTACCTCTCTCCTTCACCCAGACGTGAGAACTCAGGACTCTGGACCCCAAACACCCCATCCCCAGTGATTCTAGACCCCCAGCACCCACCTCCCTAGGATCCTGGAGACTCCCTTTCCTCCTTTCGTGCCTGGAGAGGCTTTTCACATTCACACCTCAGTTCCTTGCCTCTCTGGCCAATTTCTAAACATACCTGACCCTATCTTTGGGAACCAGTGACATAATCTCTGGGTCTCTGGGAAGTAAGCAGGGGAGAAAAAGAGGGCTTAGAGGGAGGGGGGATTCCCACTGGGACCTGCCCTAATCCCCTCCCTCCTGGCTCCCCACGTTCCACTTCCAACAAAGCAATGACCCCTGGCCTCTGCTGTAGCCAGGCAATCCTGCTCCAGGGGTTCTGAATTGGAAGAGCATGCAGGTGTTCCTTAAAGGGACCTGACAGGGGCCGCATCGCAAGCTCGCTCTACACCTCTCTCTTATACAAGAAACTTATAACGTGACCTGTGCCAACTACTACCGATCTGTAATTTACAGCCACTTCTAGGCGAGACAATAAATGGGAAAACTACAACTCCCATGAGGCGAAGAGGCCAAGATGCCCGCGGAAGCTGACTCATTTTCCCCTGGCCCAACAGGGAGTTGTAGTTCTCTTTCAAAGTCTCCGTTCTTTCGCCTAAAAAGCAGGGTATGTGGCGTCAAAAGGTAGGACTTCCGAGAAAGGAGGCTCGGCTTTCGAGAAAAGGCCAGCGACTTCGACAAGGGGCGGGGCCGCTGGACAGGGGCCCGAAACCTGGAGCCATCGCGGACCAATCAGGCTGCTGAGAGCGGATCCTCTGCGGGGAAAGTGGGCGTGGCCTAGGGGGGAAATCGCAGAGAACACACCGGAGGTCCTAGCCCAGGAAAACGCCCTCTGCGGTGAAGGAGAGGTAAGGGGCTGGAGGGTCCTGGATTCTTGGGTCCTGGGGAGAAGGGAAGCGGGGCACCAGAGGGCTGGAAAACTGAGTCTCTGAGGACACCAGTACCTCCAGATCCTGGGAAAAGAGGAGGCTGGGGCCCTGGACCTTTGGGCCTGGGGAAAGAGGGGGTCGAGATCCCGGAATCCTAGTCTAAGCGAAGAGGGTGCTGGAAGCCAGGACTCCTGGGTCTGAGGAAGGAAAGGCTGGAGGCTCGGAATCCTGGCTCCCGGGAAACGAGACGCTTTGCGTCTTGATTCTTGGAAGGGGGCAGGGAGCGGCGCCGGGAGTCCAGACTCCTGGGTCCAGGGGAGAAGGCGGCTTGGGACAGACTTATTCCACCTCTCCGCCCCCACAGACCACGCCGCCATGCCTCCCGCTGGGCCCCGTGCAGCCCTCCTTCTCCTGTCACTTCTGCTGCTGCTGCGCGCCATTCTGACCGTGCCCCTGGAGCGGGGGGCGTCCAAGAAGGAGAATCCCGCGACCGAAAGCCCCGTGAGTGGCGTGCCCTGCTCGCCAGCCAGGTGTTTGCCGTGGTACTACAATTCCCGTGCCCCCGTGGCCCCTGGCTGGCTACGGATTCGGCTTGGAGTTTGCCTGCCATTCTTTGCCGTCCCAGGGCTTTGACGTGGTGAAAAACTTGGGTGTGTGTGTGTGTGTGTGGGTGAGATTTCTAAGCCCTTGACTTTGAGATATGGAAAATCAGGTGAGATTTTAGATGAAAAAGCTGCATCGGGTCCCCCCCGCCCCACCTAAACCTCTCTGCTCTTTTAAGACGCCCTCCCCTCGAGAAGGACTCAAATAAAAAACTACATTTCCCAGTAGCATCTTGAGCAGGTGGTGTTAGTTAACTGGGGTGTCCTCACATCATGGAGCTCATGGGAGTTGTAGTTTAAATTATGATAGGGCACGGTAACTGCTCATTTATTCCAACTTGTGTTTATCGAACACTATGAAACCTTTGGTCTTAGGGAATTTGGAACTTGAAAAGATCCTCAAGGCCAGTGCCCTGATTTGTGGCCCGAATCCTACAGCTCCCACTAGGAATGGACACACCACTGTCCCTGGAACAAATCATCCCATGCTCCTGTATGACAGGTCCCCACCCAGCAAGTGAGGCCTTTGCTCCGTGAAATCTTTGCAGACACAGAAGGGCAGCTTGAGTCCCCTTGCCTTTCATTCATTCCACACATTTCTTGAGCATCTTCTAGGAGCCAGGCACAGTGCTAGAGCAAGCCCCCTGCCCTCACAGACCAGCTTAGTTTGCTGGGAAGACAATCAGCAGGTCCCTCTGAGAATGGACACCAGGGGTGATGGTCAGGGAGGAAGGAAGGGTCATTTGAGCTAAGATCTGAAGTGCAGGGAAGAACATTCCAGGCAAAAGGAAAAGCCTGGGCAAAGGCTGCATGGTGGAGGAGAGCACAGTGAGTAGAAGGACTTACAGGAGGCCAGTGTGGCTGAAACAGAGTGAGTGAGGGGGAGATTAGGTCAGAGAAGGAACAGGGGGAGATCCCACGGGGCCTTGTGGGCCATGGTGGAGACTTCCTTTATTCTGAGGCTACTAGAGTGTTATAAATGTCGATAACAAC